TATGAAGAACAGCTTGGGCTAATGGACACAGCATTTGAGAACTCCGGTGCCATTTGTGGGGTGTAGCCCGGTTGACGATTGCCTTTTCCTTTCCAATACCTACTTGACACTTCCGTTTTTAGTCTACTAAGACCACCTCAAAGTGTCCCTTGATCTCAGAGAGAGATATTCTCTAATTCCATTACAAAAAAGGATTTGTGAGCAACTTAAAGGGATTTCCTTGAATTCATGTGACTCACTCCTAGCCAGGGAGACATTTGTGGAAGGTAGCGAGCAGAGGGAGGCCCATGTGAATGGAGCTTACCAGGGAGAAAATGGCCCTGCCCCCTGAACCATCTGATGATGGATGGTTTAGTTGTAGGTGTACCAGTCAGTTTGTGACCCAAGGGGGAAATCAAGAGTCACAGAGATTTTGACCTACAAATCATGGGGCTGATAAATGGTGACTAGACCTTGCCTCTGAACACTCTCATTTGATAGTGATCAAATACTATTTGCTTATGGTCCTGTAGTTAGATTTTTCTCTTGTTTGTTGAGAAACATGTTTCCAAACAGACACAACAGCATGGGGTTCACCCTTCCCAGGAGAACCACATTTGGAAGAGAGAGAGGGGGGATCAGGGGCTTTCTGACTAGCTTCTCCCTGCAGGTGTGTGCTCAGCTTTCTGTTGTAGCCACACTGCCTCATGGGATCAGCACAGCATAATTCAAGCTCTGTGATCTATGGCGGATACTGCCAGGTCCAGACCAAGAGTCTGCTGTCCTTGCCTGTGTGGTCAAGAGTCTGCCCTGTCTTGGTTAAGGAAGCACAGCTTCAAATACTTCTGTTTCTTCCCACCTGAGTTGCCTCCTTTTCCACCCTTAACATTGAGGTTTATGCTACAGCATCATCTGTAGCAGAGATCTGTGGCAGAAGATAACATTATTTGAATATACAATCAGTCTATAATTAACCGGAGATGACAATTATAAATAACACTGTGTCCCAGAGTTTCCAAGAAACCTGACACACACAGTTCTTGGGTATGTTGAACCACTTCCAAGAAAAGTAGAGAAGTGAAAAATCTTTTAGAAGTCTTCAATTAAAATGTGTTTCAGTAAAAACGACTTTCTTTCATCGTGTGTTTCGGTACATATCACCCGGCAAACATTTGTCCTCGTCTTCACACCTCTAATTGTTTTCGCTGGCCAATTACAGCGATGTAGAACTGAGACCTTCTACTTGGGACAACCATGATTTTCATATGTGAAGAAAAGTCAACAGGCATAAGGTTTGTACATCCCAAGGGAACAGATCTCCAGGACAGGGCTTCAGTTATCTGGATCTCCGGGATAGGGCTTCAATTATCTGGATCTCCAGGACAGCGCTTCAATCATCTGGGTTTCCAGGACAAGACTTCAATTATCTGGGTCTTGGGGCCCTCTCCCTGCATCTCTGTAGAGGGTACAGCATGAGGCTAGAGTTGGCTCCTTACAGTCCCCTCTGCTCTATTCCCAGCCCTAGCATCCTTCTGCCTTACATCTGTCTTTTTATTTATCATAGACTCTGTGTGTGTTGTGTGAATGTACGAGTATGTGCGTGTGAGAGTGTGTGTGTGAGTGTATGTGTTTGAGGGTGTGAGTGTATGTGAGTGTGTGTGTTTGCAAGCATGTGTGTGTGTGGAGTGTATATGTGTGAGTGCGTGCACATGCCTTTGAGTGTGCACACAGATATACAGGTGCCTTTCAGAGGCCAGGAGAGGGGTAGATCTACTGGAGCTTGAGGCCCAGCTTGTCACCTGACGTGTGCTGGAAGGCAGCACCGGTCCTCTCTGAGAGCAGCAAGTGCTGGTAACCACTGAGCAACCTCTCTAGCCCAGGGATGGTTACTGTAAGTAGCAAAGAGCATTCTTTGGGGACTTCAGATGGCAAGAGAAGTGAAGAATGTGAAAGGACGTTATATGGTGCCTTCCTTTGGGAACTACCAAGGGAAGTTTCAGGCCAACCACTTGCCTGCATGTGAGCTGATCCTGGATGATTACAAAAACCTAAGAGAAGGGCAGGAACTTGGGAAAGACAACCAAGGTCTAGGATATTTCTTCATGAAGCATGAGCATTCACCTCTGTTGACAGGACATGCTAAGCAACCCTGGTTCTGTACCTACTTTTGATAGATAGGATTCACACATAAAAAGTACACAATTAATAATTTTACCTAAATTGCCAGCAGGTTTTTTTTATGTTTTATTGTGCAAAACCAACCCCACCCCCAACACTCAGGACTGTCTGTAACACACAGTAGGTGTGAATGTTGACTAATCACTTTTTCCAAAGATGCCAATTTGGCATTAATCATCACCTTGGCATAGGCTACAGTGACATAGGTTGATCAGTGCAGAACCGACACCCAGGTTCAGCCAGCGGGAAAAGGGAACCAGAGAGCGTGATGGCCCCTGCTGCCAAGCTCCACGGCACACTTGTGCTCTCCTACGGTGCTGTGGTGCCGTACAAATAGCAAGTCAGGACCCCTGGCTACACGGTGTTGGAGAAGGAATGTGTCACTCTGTCTCATGAGATAGAAAGGCCTCATTTTCATAACGTCTCCACTTCAAAACAGATAGAAGTACAAGTTTAAGATGGAACCTCACATAGGCATGGCTCAGTGGTGAAGGGCACGTACTTGCAGAGGACCTGAGTTCGGTCCCCAGCACCCAGTTGGGTGGGTCCACAATTCCTTGCAACTGCAGCTCCAGTGTTGTGTTTGTGGTACCCATACTCACATGCTCATTCACACAGACACACAGCTGCCTGGTTACAAAATTTAAAAGACAATTCTGAAAAGATTAAAAAGAGGTTAAGAAGATTTTGAAGTTAATCAGTAACAACCTTGAGGTTAGGGGCAGTGACTCAACTCACTAACAGGAATTGGTTATTACTTCAAAACTAAGATTTTAAAAAATGGGTGTTACAACTCTACCAAAGAGGAAGGGAAGATGGAGGAGTATTTCCCAGCAAAGGCAATGGCAATGCCTGCCACTCAAACAGTTGGCGCTACCCAGAGAGGTAAAATAAAATGCTCCCGGGTGTGGGCGTGGGATGAGAAGTGACATTCAGGCCCCCTCGGCTTGGGTGAGCCTGGACTAGCAGGAGTGCAGGCGTCTGCCCTGCTGTTGCTTAATCAGAAGGCTGTGGAGTCACTGAAGCCTTGCACGAGAGCAACAGCTGATCTGTGTTAGAGAGGATTAACTCCCATTGCTATGGTGGAGGGCCCAGGATTATTTTATGTACTCCTGTTGCCTTACAAGCCGTCAGCACAATTATTGCCCTCCGATGTGAATGACTGATCTGTAACCACAGCTAAACAGCTTGCTGCTTAGGGGCTTCGGGAACTTCATGAAGATGGATTTCCATACCATCAAAGTGCTTTTAATGGGCTCCCTGATCCAACCACAAGACCTATTTTGCAAGTATATAGAATTCGGGATGAAGGCTTCCTGTCCAAAAGGATTTGGTCGGTTGTCACTTGACAATTCCCAGCCAGCACGAGGGAGGGGGGTGTGGGGGAGATAGGTAGAGTCGTCTCTGCTTTGGAGGATTAAAAACAAGGGGGAGGTTACAGATGTTCACGGACTGCAACCAACTGCTGCATCTACAGCTGAATTCAAAGCGCTTAACAAATAGCGGCAATTTAGCTATGCTTGCGAGGAATAGCTCCCGTCACTTCACGTTAGCATCTGGCCAAGTGTTAAACTCATTTCTACACAGGGAGCAGAGGAAAGGGTTTCTTGCCGGAGCATCCTTTCAAGAATGTTTAAATATTTGAACATAAATCCCTTTATGCTTGCTATCATTCCTTCTTAGGGCTGCTACCGGGTTTCTTTCTGCTGTCCCTTCTAGTCCCAGTGTCTCGCTTGGGCTGCAAGAATCGGGAGAGCCACAGGCCTGTGGGATGACATCCTGATCACGCTGCTGCCTCCAGAGAGGGGGCGCAGAGGAGGACTTGTTTCTTCATCCGGGATATTTGCTCACGTGAGGACCCAGGAGGGCAGCAGCTGGGAAGGGTTGGGTCTCAAGTTCACCTGTGCTATGACCTGGGCACTCAGCTACCTAATTCTGCGTAATGCACGGCAAACTAGAGAGCTACCACCAGGGCACGCTGCTCATCGAGAGAAGTTTCTGTGGGACTTGCACGCTCCTCAGGGGGATGGGCTTGGAAACCATTGATAAATAGATGATCATACTCCTACCTCTCACCTACAGTATCAGTCACCATGCAACATTTTCATCCAGATATCACCCAAAGAAGCACACCACTCCAAGCAAGCTATAGTGACATTTTTTTCCCTATGTAAAACAAAGCTTACACGCAAAACAAAAACAAAAACAAAGCACGAAGCCATGGTGTCTCTGGCTACTTCAGAAGCTCTGCTGGCTTTGGGTAGAATACAGAAGGTCAAAACACATTTTGTGTCATGATGAAGTCCAACTTTCCAATTACACAGTCCCTAATACTTGACAGTGGCAACATTATGACCGGCTCGGGAGCCAGGGCATCATCCAAGCTTAGGCTGACTAAAGAAGATCCTGTGCTTTCAAATCCAGCTGATCCCCAAATACAAGTTAAGTATCTCTGGAAGGCAAAATTCTCCCTCAGACGACACGGCATTTCAGATGCCACTTCGTTTTAATATAAACTGGCAGCAAAAAGGGACGATGCTCATCCCCAGTAAGGTCTGGGGATGCAATCCTGTTCTGACACTTCCCATCGCTGGACTGAGCGCCTTGCTGATGGGGGGGGCATGGAGGGGCTGTCACTCTGAAGACAGGGGGACAGGTTATGGGAGGAAGAGAGAGAGCATCCAGGTGCTCACAGCACTGATGGGGAGACTGACTCTGCCCCTGGGGAGACTGACTCCGCCCCTGGGGAGACTGACACCGCCCCTGGGGAGACTGACTCCGCCACTGGGGAGACTGACTCCGCCCCTGGGGAGACTGATGCCGCCACCACCGCCTGCACTAACCTTTTCTGTCCGGCAGCTGTTGAGACCTATGCTATTCACCACGGCCACCTTCCCGTCCAGTGCCTGCTGCTCCCGCCTGAGTTGCTCCTTCATCTGTCGAGCTTCTTGGATGGCCTTGGTGACAGCATCGTGGTCGTTTAAATAACCTGGAGATGAGACACAACACATGTACGAAATGCATGGGAGAAGGACAGGCTGACTTTGGCCATGGGCATACGTCCCTGATAGGTTAGGATCTGAGGGAACCTAATGTCCTCGGGAAACTCATCCATAATTAGCGAATGAGCGTGCAATTGGGGAATGAGTGATACACACTGCCAAATACCCGTAGCAAAAAAAAAAATTATGCTTACACCGCATCCAGTTACTTCTGAATACAAATTTAAAATAAAATTTTAATCTAAGTTTTTAAGTCAATTCCTGAGTGTGTCTTAAGACTGAATTTGTTTTGTACTGTGCACGTGTGTGCTTCTGTGTGTCTCTGTGTGTCCACGTGTGTGAGAGTACAGCACCCACAGAGGCCAGAAGACGTCCTCAGATTCCCTAGAGCTGGAATCAAACATGTTTGTGACGTGCCTACTGGGAACCGAACATGGGTCCACTGCAAGAATATACACGCTCTTAACTGTGGAGCACCTAGCGTCCCGAGGTTCAAAAATACATTTCTATTTTACCCCCGTGTAGAGGTCACATGCATTCTGCCATATAAGACCTGTACACTGGTAATCACCACAGTGATTACCAAGCCTCTCACAATATCGGAAGACTTGGGCCAGAGTCTGTGGCTGGTATGCAGGCCTGAGACAGACAGATGGACAGCGATTACCAAGCCTCTCACAATATTGGAAGAGTTGGGCCAGAGTCTGTGGCTCCTATGGATCAGGCCTGAGACAGACAGATGGAATGGATCATTATCGGATGGCAGGAAGGAGCACTCTCCCCCTGTAGATCCACTCGTATGATCAGGCCTGAGACAGACAGATGGAATGGATCATTATTGGATGGCAGGAAGGAGCACTCTCCCCCTGTAGATCCACTCGTATGATCAGGCCTGAGACAGACAGATGGAATGGATCATTATTGGATGGCAGGAAGGAGCACTCTCCCCCTGTAGATCCACTCGCCTTGGACATTAACTACAGGTGGCGTGCTTTGCTGCGCACCTAAACTCCTAAGAGGCATGAGACTAGACGTCAAGCACAGCATGTCACCGAGCCCCTGCCACTGGTAAGACACTGCAGATGCTGCTGCTAACTCACTCTCAATCAGACAGTCAGATGGCCAGCTCAGGCCTGAAACTCCCCAATGCAGGCTTAGAGAGAGGCTGCTGCAATAGTTTTAAAGACTAGTGAGGGAGGGAGCTGAGGTGATTTTTAACTTGATTGCGACTGAGATGTCGCCATTTATTTATTTGCTGTGCATTCTCGGGCAGAGTGCATTATTTTAGGTTAGAAGAAAATTGAGAGAGACAGAAAAAAGCCAGTACATTTGCAAATATTTAAAGGATGGGTAATATTTTGTTTCTCTCTTTCCTCTCTCTCTCTCTGTCTCTGTCTCTCTGTCTCTGTCTCTCTCTCTCTCTGTCTGTCTCTCTTTTAACTGGGGCATAAAATGGCATAAGATGGATCTGTAATATGAAATTGCCCAGAAAAGGGACTTGTCTGTGACTCGAGGCTCAGTCTAAGCAGATCCATTGGTGAGCTGTGACAGATGGAGAGGCTGTGGCACAGAAGGCAGACACTAATCACACAGAAAATGACCGGCTTGCCTCAACATGTTCCACAAATTCCAGCAAACTTTACACCCTAATCCATTTTTAGAACAAAAAACATCTGGGCCATAAATCCTCTAATCTGCCAAAACACGCTATTAAATCCCACGATTTGTTGAAAAACACTAAGATTAAAGAAAGGAAATATAAAATGGCTAGCTGCCTTGCTGTGAAAGTGTTATTAATACTCTTTCTTTGTGTCTTTATGAATGTTCTGGTACTAAAGAGCCTTGTCTAATCATGTCAGATTACACACCCTCATTGCGTAGCTCTTCTGTCTGACCCACTGATTGCCAAAACACATCAAATATTTCCTTGCCACTTAAAAACTCTATGGAGGATGGATGTGGGTTCAACAGAGTGAAGCTGGCTCCTCAGTGGTTCCTGGATTCCCTCCTCAGAGACAAGGCCTGGTCCAGGCATCTTCTCAGGCCCCTGAGCATGCTTCAGGTGAGCTCATGCAAAGCAGGGATCTTGAGAGCGGTAATGCTTTTTAGAAGCAATCATTGGAACTGACCCAAACTACGGAATGCGGCTTGAAATACACACACAATAGGGACTGGAAGAAACTGTTTAGACCAGGCGCTGTTTAGAGTGACTAACAGTTGCCAAGGATGGACCTGCTTACCTTGTCACTGTCCTCGGCGCTCTGAACAGTCTTCTGAATATGTCATTCCCCAGTGTATTCTGTAACTCTGGGTGGGAACCCAGCCCCTCTGGGATAAGCCTGGGCGTGTTTGTTTAGGCAGACCCCGAGAGGACCAGCCTGCTTGTCCTGGCCCTTGACCCCTGTCTCTGCTCAACCCAGCAATGGGTGGGTTTTTTTATACTCTATTTAGTCTCTCTATGATCTGTTTAGCTTCTCGAGAACACAAATACATTTGAAACGGTTTAGCATGTGGTGTTGAATGAAAGCACTTTTTACAGACTGCCAGGATAGCACTGTGTGGCAAGACAGATAACATGGACACAGGAGGAATGTAAAGGATGGCACAGGTGACTAACTGTAACCTGCGTGCCACAGAGGCCACTTCAATTCTGGGGAGTGTGGGTTCAGGCTCAAATAGGCACTGGCTCTAAAAAAAATTAACTTTAGAGTCCCCTGAGTCTCAGTAGCAATGCTGCACTAGACTCTACACCTGTTATCTGCTCTGCCAAGTCTTAAAGCCGTTTATATGTTCTAGAGTTCAACCATAGCATGACGTTGTTCACCATGTCCAGACGCCTTCATCTTATCACGATCAACTAATGTCCTCCCCTGCTGGCTCCCCGTACCAACCCCCCCCCCACACACACACCTGGGTGAACAAGTGTCTGAAAGCCAGTGCTCAACTTCAGGGGTGATTTCAGGTGCCATCTACCTTAAATTTTGAGACTTGATCCCCCGTAGGCCTGGAGCATGTTACAAGGCTAAGCTGGTTAAGTGGGTTCTAAGGATTGAATATGGGTCTTCATGCTTACTGGTTAGGCACTTTACTGACTGAACTGTCTATTTCCCTAGCTCACCACCTATATTCTTGCTTGTTTCTCTGTGATTTGAGAGATTACCCCATATACTATATGAACAAATACAAGCAACAACTGTGGTCAGCGTCACCCCTCCTGTTCAGATATCTTCTCCCTAGTCTCCTCCTCCACCTGTGTGCCCTATGAGGCAGGGAATGCTGCCTGTGTATCTCAGAGTTCATTATCCCCCCTCATCCCTCAGGCTGTCCTTTCTACAGCCTACAAACTTCCCAGTTGTCCGTCTCATCACTTGGAAAGTCATCTAAGATTTGATTCTTTATCTAACCCGCATAACAGACAGCCAAGTCTCACCGCGGTGTATTCATTTCTCAGCTCTTCAATTTGCCTCCCCAACCCCCGTGGGTCCCTGTCTTCACTGAAGTTACCCCATCCTTTGTGTAGGTTAAATCCCTTCCTTACTGGTTTTTTAGCCATAGTTATGTCCCCAATCTGTCTTTACATAGTATTTGAGCTTGAAAACTTTTGCTTAAAAAGCCATCACTTGGTACCCTGGTGCTCAAAGTAGCATTTCATGAAATGATGACCTGTCATGGTTTGTAACTGTGGAAGTACTGAGCGAAAGCCAGCTGTCTTCATACCTTTGGCTATATGATGTGACTTGAGACTCTCCAGGAAATAATGGCAACCTTTAGCCTTGCCTGTCATTAATGCCCACCCCCACCCCCACAGTCATCATTCTGGAATAAGCCCCAAGAGTGTTAACAGGACCTAAAAGCCTGTTTGCTTTGTCAGATGTTTGATCTTCCATGCCTCGTGTCTATCTGTCACGAGTTCCGGTATGAGTTTAAAAGGGAGGTCGCCCTAGTCCCAAGACTTCTCTGGTTCCTGTCTCCTTAAGTTCCCCACGTGCTGAAACGTTCTCCTTTCTGTTGTGTTTGGGCATTTATGCAGGAATTACTCAGTCTGTGAAGACCTCTCTGACATAGACCAGACTTGCTCCAGGCAAGCCCTGTGCAGCCTGCTTATCTGTTCCTCTGAAGCCTTGTAAATGCTTTCCATGTCACACGGGTCTACATTTTCCTAAGTGTGTTGTCTCAGCCTGCCAGTTCATGAACTATGTGAGCGCATTTAAAAAATATTTTATCATATTTTTCATTGTGTGTGTGTGTGTGTATGTGTATGTGTTTTAGTGTGTGTGTGTTGTGGTGTTTGTGTGTGTGTGGTGTGTGTGTATGCGTGTGTACATGAGTATGTGTGTGTGTGTGCGTGCATGTGCATGAGTGCAGGTGCCCTCAAAAGACAGAGGAGGCATTGGGTCTCCTAGAGCTGCAGTTGCAGGCTTGTGAGTCTTCTGATGTGGCGCTGGAGACAGAAACCTGGTCCTCTGCAAGTGCAGCAAATGCCCTTCACCACCAAGCATCTCCCCCAGTGCATGCGTGTGTAGTGTTACTTTTCGTTCTACTTTGAAGGAATAAGCACACATTTCTGTGAGCATCTGTCTTGGTACAATTCCAAGCTCGTTTCAATGGAAAGCTCCAGTGCGTGGCACAGAACTGTCAGAAGTTCATGGAACTAGCAGACAACACCAAGACAAGACAAATTCTTACTCATTATGTATACATTTGGTCAGAACATTTTTACCAATGTTACGTCTGTTTAGTGTGTGTGTGTGATTGTGTGTGAGAGTGTGTGAGCATATGTGACTGCATGCACTGTACATACACACACGTTTGAGTACCATGGTGCACGGGTGAGGTATAAAGATAACTTAGAGGAGTCAGTTCTCTTCTGCCACCGTATGGGTCCCAGAAATTGAACTCAGGTCTTCGGACTCATCTTTTCTACCCACTGAGCCATCTCACCAACTCCACAAAACATGCTAGTTACAAATAAAAGTTGGAGTTTCAT